TCTTTACATTACTAATGCTTTGTAATTTGTTTCCCTTGGACTATTCAGACTTTTTTTTTCATACAATTTGTTTGAGTCCACTGGCACGAACCTCTCTGAATTCTGATGGACTAAACTTTCTCAGTTCTAACAACTTGAGAATTTCTATACTAAACATCTTGGCTTGCAAACCATACAGACTAGAAACCACTTCTGCTGAGGTGACTTGTTTCTCTGAACTAACTTGACTCACTTGCTAGGAAAACTGTTCAACCTTCTAAACTGACCTCCAGGTTCCTCTGAACTAAAACATTGAGCCTTCTGTTCTGAAGTAGGTCCCTTGATGTGTTTATTCTGCCTGTCATAAATCCAGCAATATAAATATTTTTATCCATGTATGTACATAGGCTACTATTCCAATTGACCTGATCTGATTAAATAAAATTATCTTCACAGAACTGACCAAAATCCATCGGCATCTATTTTAAATCAAAATCCCCCAAGTGGTAATAAGAACATATTTATCACATTCTCCACTCTAACATTACTGTTAATCTGGGGAAGATGGTTCAAAGAAGAATGCACGGAGGTGTACTTGAAATGGAGATCTCAATCTGGTGAAGCTGTAGTACAGGATTACTTGCATTTTTCAAACAGAGGACACAGCACATGGTAGAACTAAACTATTCCATAATCAACATTATGTTTAAGCTCTGAAGCTGTGCCACATCAAGTTATAAAAGTGTTGGACAATTAAACAATTGATGGGCGAAGATCAGTGAACATCCCTGCTTCAACAATGGGCAGGCCCAGCATAGCAGTGGAAAAAAAAGTTCGAATTTTTGAAAACCATGTACCAGAACCACTGAGTGGATCATTCATCTTGGCTTCTTCCTGTGGTTTCCAGCATCACCACTGACAGTCTTAAGTCAAGTTGATACACTCCATGTGATGTTATGAAGTGGCTGAAAGTACTGGATATCTCCAAAAGTTATGGGCTTGACAGCATCCTGGTGTGGTACTGAAGACCTTTGCCATATAACTAACTTTAGCCCTGAACAGGCTGTTCTACTACAGCTGCTACACTAAACTGGCACTTATCACGCAATGTGCAAAGTTACCCAGCTATGTTCTGTCCACAAAAGGACAAATCCAATCCACTGTATGTATCTGTTCTCAAGCATAAATGTATTGATGGAAGCCTTTGCCAATGGTATAATCAGTTGGCACTTTGCAATAATCAGGTAAATTGTTGGAAGTGATTCTGAAAGACAGGATTTAGATGCATTTGGAGAGGCAAGGAATAATTAAGGATAGTCAGCATGGTTTTATGCGAGGGAGATCGTGTCTCACAAACTTGAGTTTTTTGAGGAAGTAACCAAGAAGATTGATGAGGGTAGAGCAGTAGACATCATTTACTTGGAGTTTAGTAAAGCCTTTGACAAGGTTCCGTGTGGTGGACTAAATAGTAAACTTAAGTCACATGGGATTCAGGCTGATACAAAATTGGATACAGAATTTGCCAAATGGCAGGAGACAGAGAATGATGGTGTGGGGTTGTCTTTAGGGCTGGAGGCTTGTGGCCAGCAGTGTTCCACGGGGATCGGTGCTGGGTCCATTTTTGTTTGTCATTTATGTAAAGGATTTGGATAAAAATATAGAAGGCATATTTAGTGAGTTTGCAGATGACATTGAGATTCGTGGTATAGTGGACAGTGAAGAACATTATCTAAGATTGCAAAGAGATCTTGATCAATTGGGTCAGTGGGCTGAAGAGTGACAGATGAAATTTAATTTGGATAAATACGAGGTATTGCATTTTGGTAAAACAAACAAGGGAAAGACTTATATAATTAGAAGTAGGGCCTTGGATAGTCTAGAACAGAGACCTAGGGGTTCATATATAGACAGGGTGGTTAAGAAGGCATTTAGCATGCTTTCCTTCATTGCTCAGACCTTTAAGTTGGGATATTATGTTGATGTTGTACTAGATATTGGTGAGGCCTCTTCTTGAGTGTGCAGTTCTGTTTGCCCAGCTACAGGAAGCATATTATTAAGCTGGAGAGGGTTCAGAAAAGATTTACCAGGATGTTGCCGGGAATGGAGGGTTTGAGTTATAAAGGTAGGCTGGGACTTTTTCCACTGGAGGTTGAGATGTGAACTCATAGATATTTATAAAATTATGAGGAGTATAGATAAGGTGACTGGCAGGTATCATACTAGGGGCATATTTTTAAGGTGAGAGGAGAAAGAAATCAGAAAGACAGGAAGGGTTCCTGTGTGGAATGAACTTCCTGAGGAAGTGGTGAATGTGGGTAGTTATTTAAAAGACATTTGGATAAGTACATGAATAAGAACTGTTGGCAGGATATGGGAGAAGCACAGGCAGGTGGCACTAGTTTCATTTTGGATTATGGTCGGCGTGGAATTGTGGGACTGAAGAGCCTGATTCCATGCTGTATGACTATGACTTGTGCAGTCATCAGCAAACGTCCCCATTCTGACCTTTATAATGGAGGCAACAATATTGGTGAAGCAGCTGAAGATGTTTGAGCTGAGAACACTAGCCTGAGACAGTCCTGTAGTGCTGTTCTGCGGCCGCACTGTTACCCCCCACCCACAGCTCATGACCACCAAGACCACTGGGAACATTCTTCCAGCATCTATCTTGTCTAGTCCTGGAAAAATATTTATAGGTTTCTTTGAGATCAGCTCTTATTCTTCTAAACTCCAGTGAACACAATCCTAACTGATTCAGTCTCTCCTCATATGTCAGTCCTACCATCAGAGGAATCAATTTGGTAAACCTTCATTGCATTAGCTCTACAGCAAGAACATCCTTACTCAAATAAGGAGACTAAAACTACACACAATATTCCAGGTGTGATTTATGTGGCCTCACCAATTCCCTGCATAATTGCAGCAAAACATCTTTGTTCTGTGCTCGAGTCGTCCTGCAATGAAGGCTAATGTACAGTTTGCCTTCTTTACTGCCTGCTGCATCTGTCTGCTTACTTTCAGCGACTGGTGCATGAGGACACCCAGGTCCCATTGAATATTCCCCATTCTTAATTTACAGCCATTCAAGTAATAATCTGTCTCCCTATTTTTATGGACCAAAGTGGATAACTTCACATTTGTCCACATTATATTTTATCTGCCATAAATTTGCCCACTCACTGAGCATGTCCAAATCATACTGCAACATCTCTACATCCTCCTCACCGCTCGCTCACCCACCCAAGTAAAACTGTTGACTCGCTTGCTATTGGTAAAGACTAGGTAATAACGTTATACCAGCTGAAATCATGAACCACTGGAAACTTACATCCCTGCAACATCTTGATGCGCAGGAAAATATGTAATGCAAAGCCTTTAACTCTGAACAAGGACACCTGCAGAATTGTAACATCTGATAAGGTAACTCCATGGTGTAGAGTTGTGGGATAGATTTATCAGTGACTCGGTGGTTAGCACAGCTGCCTCACAGCACTGGGGACCAAGATTTGAGTCTTGTGACTTCGTCAGAGAAAGGGTCATTGACTGGACTTGAAAGGTTAACTCTGCTTTTTTCCCACAGATTCTGCCAGGTGTGCTGAGTTTCTCCAGCAGTTTCTGGTTTTGTTTCAGAAATGTTAAGACCTTCTGTGAGTTCAAACTGGGTTGCATTCTGGCACTGACATGGCTTTACATATTCCTCCCTTTCCTGGTCTCATAAGCTTTCTGGTTCATATGCAGAGGGGACTGCTTGCATGCCAGAACAGACATAAGCAGTAAAGTCTTGTCTACCTAAGACCCAAGACAAAGATGGACCATAACCCATTTCGGAAACTTACGCTGCATTCAGTACCTCGACACTAGAATTCTATACTGAGGAATGCTTCAGTGACAAATAAATAGACTCGCTTATACTTGTACAGTAATATAGTATTCTCTATTACAATGTGAAGGTTACTTGGGAATTTTAATTGGGCAAATAGCGTTCTTTTTAAAAACTTATTGCTTCATTGCAATTTATCTCTTTGATAGGTAGCTTGACATGAAAATCAAGAATGTGGTGATTATTAACTTGCTGATTAAGTAACTAACACTTTTTACTTACATTCTGTTTGCTACCCCTCTATCTCACTGTAGATCCTCCTCACCACCTCCATCTTCACCTCATTGTCTCTCGCTTTTGTGGCTTTCCTCCTTCAGCCTCCGACTTGTCATCTATCTCCTATTTGCCTTGACTCCTACTTGCCAACACTCCTACTTACTGATTCCCTCCCAAACCACCCACTTATCAACCCTTCCTGCTGCTAGCTGCTTTCCTGTCTTGGTCCTGTGTCTGAGTGAGTGTTCTGGAAAAACATGGCAATAGGGACCAAATGAGTAAGAGGGTTAGAGAATAAATTTCAAGTAGCAGAGAGCTAGTGAGTGCAACTGAAGCAAGTGTGAAGGTAAACAAGTGGATGGAGGTAGTGAGAGAGAGGCAGCGAGTGTGTGAGGTGGCAGGAGGAAGGGTGGTGAATGGGAAAGGTATGGTGACTGGAACGGCCAGGCAACGAGAAAGAGGTATAAAGTGGACTGTTTGAAATTCCTGAGCACTGTAGAATCTGTCACTTGATTTTGATTTTAAAACATGATTTTAAAAAAGGCTTCAGCTGTTATTCTAGGATGCAAAAGACTGTGGAGCAACAGCAACCTAAGAACACTAAGTTGTGAGTCTACTAAGCCTACATCCTCAGTGCATTCCCCTACAGTTGTGAGAATTTGAATTTGAAGTCTGATTCTTGTACATTTGGAGAACAGTGTACAAAATTGATCATAATTGTTCAGATTTCTGAGATTTTGAAATAATAACATTTTAAAAATAAGTTATCAGTGTTGATCTTGAGGTGTAACATATTAAAGCACTGGTGCTACTGTGAGTCTGAATTCCGATGGAAATGTGGACTAAAATTACACTTTAGAGTGATATTATGCAGATCATGTTATAGAGAAATTTCCCATCTTGATCTTTTCCACATTTGTATAAGGCAGATTTGTAGCTAACAGCAGAAGATGTACTTTGCCTTTGGAGTAGCATTGACCTGTCTGTTGAACATCTTATGGAGCGATGAAGCTGTGGTAAGATGCGAATGACAAGTTGCATATATTTATATCCCTGATTGCTTTGGTAACAACTTTATAACACATTATTATTTTAATGCAGGAAGAGCTTTTATTGACACCCACATTTCAAGGTTCGTTTCTTGTACAGAATTTCAAGACCAGGTATTTTCGAGTTTAAAGGTATGACTGGATACCTAATCTGATGTGTGCTGAATCCAAAAGGAAAACAAAGGATTTTTTATAAAGATTATTTACAATATTTTACTTTCCAGTGCATTTTAGTAAGGTAATTGCTATTGTGATGTACAGTATCCAATTTTTCTCATTATTCATTCAAGTCCAGACTTTATTGTCCATACCTAAATGCCCTCAAGGAGATGGTGGTGAACTGACTTCTTGAACACTTGCATACAATGTGGTGTAGGTACACCTCCAATGCTGTTAGGGAGGTTGGGCCAGGAGTTTGACCCAGCAACAGAGAAGCATCAGTGGTATAATTCCAAGTCAGATTGATGTGTGACTTTGAGTGGGACTTACAGGTGGTGCTGGTGCTCCCATGCATCTGTTGCTGTGGTTCTTCTAGCTGCTACAGGTTTGAAAATCGCTATCAAGGGAGTTTGGAGAACTTCTGCTGTGCATCTTACATAAAATATGTTTTTGCCACTGACTACACCAGTGATGGAGGTCATGAATGTTCTGAGGAAGGATCACTGAACCTGAAATATTAACTGATTTCTTTCTGCAGATGCTGCCAGACCTGCTGAGCCTTACCAGCATTTTCTGTTTTTGTTTCCGATTTCCAGCATCTGCAGTTCTTTTAGTTTTCATTAACATTTAACTTGTTGGGCCTCTTGCATGTTGTTGATGTAGAACTTATCCATGACAGTGGAGAATATTGAAAGGCATGCCTGACTTGGGTCATGTGGAAGTTGGAAGATGAGCTAATCACCACAGAATTCCCATTCTGTGATCTGCTGTTGCTGGTCTAATTAGTTTCCGAGCTTTGGTAACAACTGGGCAATGATAGGGGATTCAGTGATGGTCATTGCCATTGAATATCGTGGAGTTGGCAGTTGTCCACCAGTATGGAGATGCTTGTAAACCATGTGGAGGGGAGTGGAGACTGCAGGGAGGGTCAGCAAACTGATCACAGCTGCCTGATACAGGGAGCCATTCAGGAGGGCGGAGGAAATAGAATCATGGTAATGGTGGGGGACAATTTAATTAAGGGGATAGATGCTGTCCTCTGTGGCTGTGAGTCTGAGTCTCAAAGGCTATGTTGTCTAACTGCCAGGATAAAGAATATTTCATGGCTGGAGCGGAACTTGGAATGGGGGTGTGCGGGGTGAAGGGATCCAGTTGTTATGCACATTGGTACTAATGATAGAAATGGAAAAGAGGTTCAGCAGAACTGTTTTGAATAGCTACAAGCTAAACTAAAAAGCAGAATTTGCAAGGTAATAATCTCGGGATTGGTACATGAACCAGGGGCAAACTGGCTCAGGGTAAATAAAGTCAGTGAGTTGAATGTATGATTTAAAGATTAGTGTGGGAGCAATAGTTTTCACTGGCACAAGTAGAAGAGAGTTTTTCTGACTGGACGGGTACTAGGGCTGTAGAGAAGGCTTTAATTTTATTTGGGGGTAGGTAGAGTGGGTTCAGAAAAGGGAATTATTTAAGCTTACAAAGCATGAAGATATGTGGCATTGCAGGGCAACTATTTTGATACTGATACCTCGAGTGGGACAGGAAAGGACAGAGTGTATAAACATAGAAACACAAAAGCAAATAGGGTTGGGGTGGGGGGAAGAAATAATGGAAAGGCAAAATTAGGGCTCTCTACTTAAATGTGCAAAGTATTCAGATTAAAATAAATGAATGAACAGCGCAAATAGGGGTATGGCCTTATAGCCATTAGTGTAGGGGTACTGGAACAGCACCAGAGCATAAATCTTCAGTCCTCTAGGTGAGATCTTTAGTGGTCCGTAGACTTTCCAGTGTCTAGTGTCTTCAGCCACTCCTTGATGTCACATGGAGTGAATCAAATTGCTAAAGATCATCTCTTATACTAGTGCTTCCAAGGAGAGGCTCTGTATGTGTCATCTGTTGGGCACTTGCAAATGCTTCATCCTTGTCTTTTACACTGATGTACTGGTCTCCACTATCATTGAGGATATAGTTGCAATAGAAGCAATTTGTAAAAGTTACATTTGACTAATTCCTGGAATGAACAGTTGTCTTATGAGGAAAGACTGGGCAGCTTTGGCCTATATCCATTAGATTTTAGAAGAGTGAGAGGTGATCTTATTGAAACATATAAGACCTCAAGGAGACCTGACATGATATAGCTGAAAGGATGTTCTTATTTGTGGAAGAGACTAGAACTTTTAAAAATATTCACTTGTAGGATGTGTGCATCACTGACTGGGCCAGCATTTGTGCCCATTTATAGTTGTCCTTTAGAAGATGGTAGTAAACTACCTTCTTGACCCACTGCAGTCCACTTGGTGTACACCCACAATTCCATTAGGGAGAGCATTCCAAAATTTTGATGTATTTCTAAATCTGGATGGTGAGTGGCTTGGGGGAACATGCAGGTGGTGGTGTTCCCATCTGTCTGTGAGCTGTGTCCTTTCTAGAGGGTAGTGGTTCTGAATTTGGGTGGTGTTGCCTTAGGAACCTTTGTAAATTTCTGCAGTGCATGTTTTTGATAGTATATACTGCTGCTACTAAGTGTTGGTGTTTGTGGAACTGAATGTTGGTGGATGTGGTGCTAGTCAAGTTAGCTGATTTGGCCTGGATAGTGTCATGCTTCTTTAACATTGTTGAACTGCGCTCATCCAGGCCAATTGGAAGTATTCCAGTCCTAAATTGTCCCCTCTAGATAGTGGGCAGGATTTGAGGAATCAAGGGGTGAGTTAACTGCTGTAAATTCCTAGCCTTTGATCTGCTCTTGTAGCCACAGTACTTATATGACCAATCCAGTTTAGTTTCTAATCAATGATAACTCCAAGGATGTTGATAGTGGGAATTCAGTAATGAAGATACCATTGAATGTTAAAGGACGATGATTAGATTCTCTCTTGTTGGAAATAGTCATTGGCACTTGTGTGCAAGGATGTCACGCGATATTGCTCAGGTCATCTTGTATTTTGACATGGACTACTTCAGCATCTGAGGAGTCACAAATGGTTCTGAACAAAGAAACAGTTTAAAAATAAGTGGTCTCCTTTTTAACACAAGGATGACGAGAAAATGTTTCTGAAGGCTGTTAGTTTGAAATTTTATTCCTCAGAGAGCAATGGATGCAGGATCGTTGAATGTTTTTAAGGCTAAGGTGGATTGGCTCTTGACTGACAAGGGCACTGATGGGAATCTGGTTAGTAAGGAAGTGAAATTGAAGCTACAGTGAGACTAGCCATGATTTCATCAAATGGCGAAGCAGACCTCAGTAAACAAAGGTGATTGACCAGGATGGGAGCAGTCATTCAGATAGTCCATGTTGCAGTGGTTCTTGCCAGGGAGTTTCAATGCCAAATTATCAAGTGAATAGTTGTGGTTGCTTGTGAAGTTTAATTAGATTTGATAACCCACCATATTATTAATGTCTGGGGCTGCTGTTGAGGAATCCACGGGATCTGTCTTGATTGCATATGCTACTTTTTGCTATTTGATAGGCAGTGTAGGTATTTAATCTCAGTATGTTACCTATATTATTAAATTAATTTTTGGTGTTAATTATATACGTGTTGTGAAGTTTACTGTTTTGGTCAAAACCATGGAGTCTTTATTATGGCTTTATTGTCTTAGTAAGTCCCTTAATCCCTCACTTTGTTAAATTTAAAAAAAAATTCTTACTCGTTCCTGGCAGAATGTAACATGAATTTAACAGTCTTGTCTAGGATTGTAATGCATTTGGTTTTATTTTAAGGAAAGGGTTATTCAGAACAACTTGAAATGTACTGTGTAGTTCTGTGTTTTACAGATTAGCCTTTATTAAATGGAGAATAAATGTAACTTCTTGGAATTATTGTTTAATTGTTAGAATTTTAAATTATTGACTGCTGACTTTTGGATTTGTGGTCCTTGCAGCGCTGCCTAGGCTTCATTATGATGTAGCTACTTCCTAATTTTCAAAAAATTATTAGAAATATGCCACTGTTATTACATGCCACGGTGCTGTCATAAATTATACGGAAGTGAGGACACAAGTACTTCTGAATATAAAAACTACCTGGCTAAATATATTGAAGGATTGCTGTAGAATAGTGAGAAAATCAGCTATTGCTTAATGGAACAGTATTTGCTGATGAGTCGAGTTAGTGGGAGGAATTTTAAGACTACGAGAACAATAAGAATGCTCCATAAGAATGAAAAAAATAAGCCATAGATTGTTCTGATTTATAATTTACTATTAAAAACAGTGAAAAAACAGAATTCAAGCTGTTTTAAAGGGAATTGGATAACTGTCCGAACTTTTTTTTAAAGAAGGGTGCTTTACCTTAACTTTCTTTCGGGCAATACTTTCCAGACCCATAAGAAAAGGAACAGGAGTAGGCAGTTCATTCGGCCTCTCTAGCCATTCAATAGGATAATAGCTGATCCGTCATTCCTCACATTCACTTTCTTGCAATATTCTGTAACCCTTGATTTCCCTGATTAAAACTTTTATCTATTTCAGCCTTAATTGTACACAAAGACTCTGCCCCCCAGCTCTTTGTGACAAGGAGTTCCAAAGACTCTCAAGCCTCTGAGAGAAGAAATTCCTCCTCATCTCAGTCTTTAATTGGTGTCCCTTAGTTTGAGACCACTGGTCTGAGACTCTACCGTGAGGGGAAATAACATCTCAGCATTTACACTGTGAAGCATAAAGGATTCTTAAGGGGCTTGAATGAGATCACCCCTCATTCTCCTAAACTCCAGTGAGTAGAATCCCAGCTTGTTAGCTTTTGTTTGTGAGACAATCCCTTCATACCAGGGATCATCCTAGTCCATCTTCTCTGAACTGTTTCCAATAACATGATACCTTTCCTTAAATAAGAGTACCAAAACTCCTCACAGTACTCCAGATGTGATCTCATCAGCAGCTTGTACAGTTGCAGCGAGAACACAGTGTGGAGCAGGAGGAACACAGCAAAGCAGGCAGCATCAGAGGACCAGGAAAGTTGACGTTTCGAGGT